AGGAGGAGGGGCAGGCGCTGATCTCTTCTCCCTGGAGACCAATGATAGGACCCGAGGGAACGGCAGGAGGATACGCCAGGGGAGGTTTAGGTTGGACATTAGGAAAGGGTTCTTCACCCAGAGGGGGGTGGAGCACTGGAAACAGGCTCCCCCGGGAGGCAGTCATGGCACCAAGCCTGACAATATTCAAGAAGCATTTGGACGATGCCCTCAAACATACGGTGTGAATTTTGGGGTTGTCCTATGCAGGGACAGGAGTTGGACTCGATGATCCGTGTGGGTCCCTTCTAACTCAGGATGTTCTATGATTCTAAGACCACCACACTTGTGGAGCGTTCAAACATCGCCATGGGATTTAAGTGTGTCTAACATCCATGCCCAGGCCCTCAGCCCCCTTACTCTGCCACGGGCTCAGGTCTTGGCTCTTTCCAGGTGCTGGGCTCCTCCTACTTGCCAGCTAGCCCAGCTTCAAGTTTGCTCGTGAGTTTTGTTAGCGAAGCCTGCACGCACTGCGGGATCCCTGCAGCACCTGGCCCGAAACACACTGGCTAGCCCATGGCTGGCCCTCACACCCTACAGCCCCTATGACCCAGGGCCTCTGCTCCAGCTGCAGGTGCCCAGACCTCCTGCGAGCACACGCCCACAGGCACAGCCACAGCACAGAAAGCAAGGTCAAGCAGAAAATCATCAGAAAAAGGATTTAATAAGCAGCTGGGACAGACTGCAGCGATGGGGCTGGCGCAGGACTGTCAGACAAGAGCACTGCTTACAGGAGACCGTCCCCCTTTATCCACCCTTCTGATCTTCCCACGTCCACCTTGACTCGTTCCTTCCCCTGCTCCCGTCTCTTCCCAGACAATGCGCCCCTAACTACTTTTCCCCATCAGTCCCAGTTCCGCTACAGCCCTGCCCAAAACCGGTACTTCTGGTATCACGCCCGGGTCCCCGCAGCCTCGCATGGCGTCACTGACACAGCACAGCGGGCCCTGCAAGGTCCCCCCCAATGCTCCCTTCAATTCTGTGTGAGGTTTGACCAGCTTCCCCTCAACCGTCAGGGAAATTCGGCCACCCTTCACAGCAGCCGTCTGTAATTTTTGTCAGCTTCTCGCTCTGCTACGTGGGTTCAGCAATGTCTCATGTCGTGACCAGCAGCTTCTCACGGCCTTTTCAGTTGGCTAAACCCCAGGCCAGGGCCTAGGCATCTGCCTGCACAACACGGGAAGATTTATTTCCAAGACAGAAACAAAAACAACTGCAGACACCCTAAATTATCACGGGCTTAATAGGCGACGGGGCTCCAGAAACGTTTCAGTGACGCCGCTAGGATGCGACTATCTGCCGCAGCCGAACGTCTGGTTCCACGTTTCGTACAGCTCCAGGTCCTTCGAGGAGACGCTGGGCCGCACGGTTCTCAGGGCGCTCTCAAAGTCCAGAAAAGCGATGGGCCGTACTTGCTCTGGCATGATGGTCGCAATGTCCGTGGACTGAAGGCTGCGGATGGGGCCCAGGGAAGCTTCTCGACAGAGCTGTGTCATGTCTGCCCCAGAAAATCCGTTCGATTTCCTAACTATGAGCTCGATTTCCTCTTCGTTTAGAGAGCAGTGCTCCTTTGACATCAGGCGGGTGACAATCTGCTTCCTAGCTGAGGCTTCCGGAAGAGGAATGTACAGCCTCTTCACGAGCCTCCGCCGGGCAGCTTCATCGATTTCTTGGGGTCGATTTGTTGCTCCAACCACTAGAATACGATCTTCGGAGGAGGTCGCTGCCCCATCCAACTGGACCAGAAATTCAGTTTTGATTCTTCTCGACGACTCGTGCTCCCCATCTCCGCGCTGAGACAACAGAGAATCAATTTCGTCGATAAAAATCACTGCTGGCTGTTGACATCGCGCCACGGCGAACAGCGCACGGACCATCTTTTCCCCCTCGCCTACCCACTTGGAAGTCAGGGAAGAGGCGCTGATGCTAAAAAACGTCGCTCCGGACTGGCACGCGATGCACTTGCCTATGAGAGTCTTGCCAGTGCCAGGGGGGCCAAAGAGCAGAATTCCTTTCGGAGGGCCACGTAACCCAGTGAAGATGTCTGGCCTCAGCATAGGCCAGACCACTATTTCTTTTATGGTGGCTTTAGCAAATTCCACTCCGGCAATGTCGTCCCAGCTGACAGGAGGCCCGTGGTCCATGATCTCGTGCATAACCAGTTCAACCATTTTGGGCTCTATGTTTTTCAGTCGCTCGTCTACAGGCAGCGACGGATCCGTCGGTCCTCTTGCGTGAGGTTTACACTGGGCGCCTCCGTTTTCATTTCCCTCTTGTTTTGGAACCGGAGGAACAAACTTGCCAAAGGGGCCCCGAGATCTGCCTGCGCCCAGGGATTTTTTTACACCTCCGTAGGACGAGACTGGGGCACGCTGGGGGAGGTTTTGAGATTTCTTTTGCTGGTCCACCCACAGCTGTTCTCTTGCAGTTCTGAAACCAGGAACACTGCTCTCCTCACTTCTCTTTCTGGTCCCTGAAAAACTACCGGCTTCTGTACTAATGGAAGCCTGGCACGGAGCAAGGCTCGCAACCACCGCGCTCGCGCTGCCTTCCTCAGCCAGACCATAAAACGCTTTTCTTTTTCCAGAGCTCGCGGACCACGCAGGTGCAGCCGACTGACTGGAAAGAGGCAGATTTTGCCCATCGCGACAGCTGCTCGACGTCGTCAGAGAACTACGACTCGCCGCTTCTTTGCTGCCAAACAGCGGAGTCGCCTGCAAACCTGCACGAACCTGTTCGTTCAAGGAGGCTGAAGAGGCAGGAAGCGCATCCGAAGTTTTGGTCGCAGGAGGCACGCTGCTTCGAAGGCACTTTGAAGACGAGGGATGCTCAAGGAGATCTGCTCCCCGACTTGCACATTTTGCTGAGCCAGCACAGAGCTCCGTCTCTCCGGCACTGCTGAAGATACGGAGCTGAGGAAGCCCCGGAGCGGCAGAGGCGCTGACCCCGTTATCAGCGAGTACGCAGGCGCCTGTTGGCGCCACCTGAGAGCGCTGGAAACTCTTGCCAGCCTGCATCCTCTCTTGCACACACTTGAATTCAAACACATTATCCCTTGTCAAGGCAGATTGCCACTTGTCACTGTCGTTTTGCTGACACTTTGCCAAAGTCAAAATGTTTTCAGCATAGTTATTCAAGCCAGTCTCTATGTTGTCAGAGTCAATAATCGCAGCGTATTTCTCTGCGTATTTTTTAAACAGCTTGGCAGCACAGACCGGGGAGATCTCGGAGTTTGCCCATGCATACTGAATACGCAGGATTTTGGCACGGTATTCGTCTGCCTTCTGGCCGGGTGTGCAGGCGCCAGAGGTAACAGCAAAGTAACTTTTCTGCCAGTCGCTCAGGTGCACCGTGCTGTGGGTGGGGGTCTCCATCACTGACACTGCAACACACAGAAAATACCTGCTGTTATAAAATGCACCGCACAGCTATTTGCTTTGGCTGCCTTCCCCCTTTCCTAGACACACATACACGAAAGCATACGTTATTTTAATTGAGAGAAATAGCACAGCAGATCTTGTGAGCCACCCAGCCAGTCTGGACACTTCACCATTTCCAAAAAGCAACCAGCTTTGTGCTGTAAAGCCATTTCGACGGAGGTTCTCTCTTCTCCTTCCTTCTCCAAAGAAAGAAAAGAAGGGGGAAAAAAAGAAGAAAAAAAAAAAAAAAAGAGAGAGAGTTTGCTGCTCACCAGAGGTCTCCTGGGAGGTAAGCAGACTGCAAAGAACGGTAACAGATGGCCAAACAAAAATTGGCCTTGTTAAATGAAATCACCAGTGCTTTCGCTCTTACTGGACAGAACATGGCACAGTGCAGAGGAGGACAGGTTACACATCACTGTCAGAACGATAAAATTTATTACCGTGATGGTAAAAAAAAATGCAACGGTGAAGCTCGTAGATAAAACTCTACGTGAAGTCTCTGAGGGGAGGTAAAAGTGGAAAGAACAAGCCTGAATTTAGTAAACTCTCAGATCAAGAAAATGTTTGCAGATTCACAGCAAATGTTCAAAACGATTCCTTCCATTCAGAACACACTAAAACCTCCCCGTTTTCTATTTCAGAGAAACAAAGCTCGCGTGTGTTTGAAGCGATGCTTGTGTCGCAGCTTTAGAAAGCGGAATTTCTGCAGCAATTTTTTAGTTTAAGAAATAGGAAAGATGACGTTTGGCTAGGAAGGAGCATTTTGCCAGCCTTGAAAAGGTGTGCTCGTGCTTACGATGGTTTCTCAAGGAAGGCTTTCTCTGCAACGTGCCAGGTGCAGAGACATTTCTGGTCACGTCAAGAATTCATCGTTTCAGAAGAGACACAGGCGCAAGCCAAACTAGAGGAATCCACCACAGCCTCAACAGCTTTGCAGACAGCTCCTAACACACGGTACTTCCGATCGTCTCATCTGTCCGTAAGGGGCACACGTCTTATCTATGACGTGACCGAAATACATCCAATTCTAATTTCTCTTTTTCTAACTTCAATATGCACCGGGACATTCCAGCCAGGGAATACTTGAAACACAACCTGCTGAAGTGGAGGCCCATACAGGCTGCACCCCTTCCAACAGAGGACGAGTCACCTTGCAACCTTCTTCTGAGCCAGCTACAGACCCTCCATGAGCGCCGATTACTGTGCGGGCGCAAGGTACATGCAAGACGGGGGAGACAGACCTGAAGGAACACGGGCTGTGCGGGGGGTCCTCTCTATTTGCTTTCAAACCCTCCTGCACCAGCGTAAGACAACAGAGAGCACAATACGACTATGGCAGGAGGGGTTACGCACGTACTAAAACAATGAGATAAATTATTTTGTTTGGGGTTTTTTTGGACTTCAGCCCAATTTCATAGAGCTGTTTAGAAAAGCCAAAACACCTTTTCCTTGCACATTCAGTGCCTTTACATGGGAAGCCAATTAAAAAAAAAATAAAACACCACAAACATAAGATTTCCTCTGAAAAATGACTGTCAACTTTTGTACCGTGAGAAGTCTAACTGGCGCCTACCGAATGAGGTGCAAATTCCCACCATAACCCCTCTGCAGCTGCGCGACCGGTGAACAGGAGGTGGAAGGGGTGCAGCCCCGTCTTTCTTTTCTCTAAACTGCTGAACAACATACTAAATAACCGTCACCGTGCACATAACTTTTTTGTAACTGTTGAATCAAAGACATCTTATGAAACGTAAAAGCTAAGCTCAGAAGACCGGGCTTAGTAGCCGGGATCTGCTCCCATGAAGTACTTCCACAGATTGACAGCACTCAGAATATAAAAGCTCAAGTTCGCCACCGCTTCCTAAAGACTTCGCGATCACCTTCACAGCTCTGAGGGAAGGTCACAATAAGCAAACGGTGGCAGCTGGTTTAAAATTTCCGTTTGATTGTTCTTCTTCGGTGTCTTCTAATGTCATATTCGCTCCCGACTCTAATTCCTAGGAGCGGTCCTCACAGCCTCACGATTTTTCCCCAAGAGCCAGCCAAACGCGCACAGGGACAGCCAGTCCTTCACCAGCCCAAGCTGTTCCTCGACGTCGTGGGCACCAGGCTTTCACGTAAGCGTCCAACGGCGGGGCTTTACCAAAGCACTGCCAATAACGGATTTCTGGCACGCGAGTGTTCAGCCTCAGCAGGCGGAGGGGGAAGTGACCGCCCGACAGGCCTGCGGGACGTCATTACACCCGCACGTGAGCACGCGTGAGCACACCTACCCATTCCACACGCGGGGCAAGCCCGCTGGCCCACAGGCAAGGACGGCGGCAGGGACGCACGCCAGCGGCCCGGGCACGGCTCAGCCCTCTCCGCGGCCGCGCAGCACGCAGGGGCCGCCACCGTCCCGCCGGCGAGGCCCAGGCCCGGGCAGGGCCGCTCAGCTCAGGAGACGCCACCGGCGCAGCTTCAAGCGGGCCGACCCCCCCTCCCCGCAGCGGGGGAGGGGAA